TTAATTTGCAAATCAAATATTTACCGTGAGGTCCAAAATTAATCAGTGCCTACTAAGTAGTGGTACATATTCAAAAATTTAATAACAAGTATGATTTTTATAAGAAGATTATTCTTATTCCATATGTTATTATTTTTAACACTTAGATAGTTGTGGTATGTGTGTGTGTGTGTGTGTGTGTGTGTGTGTCTGTGTGGGTCAGCAGTGGTAGGCTGTGACATGGACTAAAATATGCAGCTATTACCAATCATGTAAGTCATAACCTTCAGTTATAAAAACTGTACTTTGCTCTGTTGAAGATTATATATAATCATCTCTCTTCATTTTGGTTTATGTCTCCCAGACAGCATAAAGTGAGGTGCACAGACAGATGACAAGAGTCCCCAACTAGCATAGGGATCTTGATCAAATCGACTAGCCTTTCCAAGATTCCATTTTATTTTTTGAAAAATGAAGGAGCTGGAATAGAACATCTTTAAAGTCCCTTCCCTCTTTCAAATGCTGAGCCTATCCTCAGGCGATTCCTCCGCTTCTTTCAGACCTTTACAACCCTATGAGGATCTACTTCATCATACCACTCCAGACCACCACTTTCTCCTTTCTTCACACTGTAATAGCAGTTCAACTCTGTACTACTTATTTTGAAGTTAACCTTACATTGATAGGTTTGCTGAATCCTTTTTGTCTCCCAGGCTAAACTTTTAGCAAGCAAAAACCATGTCTTTGACCTCTCTATTCATTCCTACTGTAGATTTCTATTTCATTCATACCTAGTGCAGTCTGGTGACATACGACAGCATTCAAACATTGGATAGTTAATGAGAGAGAGGGAGGGGGAGAGAGAGAGAGAGAGAGAGAGAGAGAGAGAGAGAGAGAGAGAGAGAGACTAAAAAGTGGAAATTCTTCCCCTTTTACTTAGTTGTTCCTCTGGTCTTCTAATGTATTCTACATTCATCCTCTGAATTTTCTCACACCCTATTTTAAGCCTTTATTTGTTGACACCTGGACTGTTGAACAGCTTTCTAAATATTTTCTGTCCCTATCTCTCGTGTCGATTCCATTAAACCGAATGCATGCTTCCCTCCAAGAGCAAAATCAAGGCTTTCAGCTTCCCCATCAAGTGTCTAGACCCCCGCACACCAAAATGGCCTCTTCTTCCTTACAACTTATTTTCCTTTGTATGTCTTATTCAAAAATTGCCAAATGTGAAATGACAACATATTTTCTCACATATTTTGAATCTTGAACACTTTTACTTTTCTCTTTAACCAGATGGTAAACCTAGCATGCTCCTTTAACATAGTACACATCCTTTAAATATTTGTTGAGTTGATGTGTTAACAAGAATAAAATGAATAATTGACCTTGTATATAATACGAAGGACATCTTTTGGCACACTGTAGTAGAAAAAGAAAGTCAAAGGTTTATTCTCAAAGGTAACTGTGATTTACATGGAGCAATCTTTAGTCTGAGCAAGTAAGATGGTATTAGGCTTTGTAGACTGACATTATAAGAAGTCTATTTTTGTTGAGAGAGGAAATTTTGCTATATAACTGTAATTAGGGAGAAATCAGAGATTAATAATGCATTATATTCTAGAGCTTTAGCTGATAAGCATCAAGAAATGGTTTTCTCAACTTTAAATGGTTTGCAAAATATTATTTCTGTACTTTGCTCCATGCACAGAAACTGGATCTGCTATTCAGAAAATTCAATATTTATTCTAAAATGTAGATTGTCGAGTTATAGGAATATTTCATACACTCTAAAAGAGCATATAATCTACCTCTACTAATTAGTTTATCTGTGAAAGCCTTCCAGACAATTACATGGGAATACCGCTGGTCAATGCTTCAGGTGCTTTTCATTAAAGGTATAGTGTCGCTACCAGATGAATTGCTTCATATAAAAGCACTTACCACAAACCCTATAATGGAAGGTTAAGTGCTATACTTAATTACTAATTTCAACCCTTATTACCTATATTTTGCTGTGCAGGCACTTTAAAGGGAACCAAGTATAGTCTGTTGGTTCCCGCTTCTCTGATTATAGAATTTGGTGGTAAAGACTTTGGTCCAACTGCTATTCTAATGAATAATAAAAATCTTTAAAAATAAAGATAGTCATCCCACAAACCAATATAAAAGAGATACACTAGACATTTCTATTGAATTCATACATAAAATCACTTTGTTCTAAAATCTTTAATCCAGATGACACTTTAAAATGTGTATTCTGCCTTCATGGTGTTGTTGCAGATGATGCTCCAAGAGAAAAGGGTATTTGACATTTTCATGGCTTATTTCCTACCTCAGCATCATACTGAAATGCACACAGGGCAGATGATTAATAAAATACTTGATGACAATGATGGTGACTCCCGTGAGCTCTTTACATATTGATCATTAAGTTTTTATATGTATATACTCAAATTCCTCACAGGTGCTCTTTCTTGAGGGCAGATTGCTTTTTACCCTTGCTTGTATCCTTCAGAATAACTGCAACTTTGCTCACTCTTGATTTGTTAATTTTATCCAAACTACTGTTGGGTAAAAAGACTAAATATAAAAGGTTGCATCTGAAATATGTTTCTAAAGATTTGCTCCTTATTATCATGACATTGCCAGCTTCTGATTTTTAAACATATTTTATATATTTTTTTATACTGAGCATCCATTTAATTGGCAAATAAGACATTATATGTGTTAAACAAATATTAGTCTAGAAAAACACAAATATTTGTTGAATTAATCAATACTGTCTGATCTTAGTGACTAATATTCAATTTGGATATTAGTATGCCCAAAAAAGACAGGGATCATAACTTTTGTGAACTATAGCCAGTCCACCATATCTGGTCTATTTAATCACATAAGCTATAATAAAATAGTGAGATTTAGAAATTTTTAAAAACATATAATCTTTACCCACATGCACTAGTGCACTAGAAAACTAGGTTCTGATGGTCTGTGCTTGGGAAATGCTAACCATACTTCCATTTTTGAGATGCTTGATGCATATTAGTATCATAAAGCCCCAGTACAGACACTTACAACTTAGTTTAATTCAGACTTTCCCCAAACTAACTTGAGAGTGGGACTTTCTCTCTCCCTGATATGTCATCATTAACATTCTCCAGAGCAGCATTCTTAAAGATACCAGTGTGGAAAGTGTGGAGAAAGTAAAAAAGATACTAAATTAAGCTAAATTTAAAGCATCAATGGGTGAAACAAAGCTAGGCTGCACAAGGCAATGGCCACTCTGTAATAATAGTTAAATGTATCATCTTCCATGTTCAGGTCCACTGTTTACGGATAACAGCATTCCAGACGCAGGGCCTAGACCTTATCCTACTTTATATCTGTTAGGGTGTCCCATGCCATAACTTCCTCTCAATAAGGAGGTATTGATCAATCCATATTTTTGGAAATTCACCAATTTAGTGTGCTGTGATTCCACTGAGGCTGTAGTTATTAAAAAATACATTTCTACCAGGATTTCAGTAAATGCAACAGAGACTATCAGAAGCTATATAACTCTGTGTGCGGATTTCAGTTACTTTCCTTTCAGATCTTCCTTTCCTTTACCTCATTATAGATGGCAACAGAAGGTATACATTCCCATAATTATAGTGTAAAATTGGGCTTATTCCTCAGGATATCAATTCAGCAAATATTTACTGAGTGCCTACTATTGGCTGGTATTATAACAGACAGTTATTATTAATGCACTTGCTTCTAAATTTTGTCATACAGTAGTTTTTAAATTACATTTAATTGAGCAAATATTTGAAAAGCACCAAGTTAATAAAAATAGGTTTGGAATGAAATTTGGAGATGCAAAATTTTATAAATCAGCAAAGGTCCAGAGGGCATCAAAGACATTTGATTCCATACCTTTGAGTCAGTACTAAGAAAAACTGATCTTTATTTAGTAAATTAGTTATGTCCTCAAATTATTTCTTCCAAGAAACAGATACTTTTATAGAGACATTTTGGTAATCACTGTTATCATGCAGAATGAAAATTTCTTTTTACACCCTTTCTTTATACTGTACTATAAATCTCCTACTGAACCGAAAACAGTTGCATCTTAAAGGGGAGCAGAGAGCAAGGAGACTGATGTTTCTAGTAACCTCTGTTGTACGAAAAGGTAGAGAGGATAATAATTGCAGTAAAATACCTTTATAAAACTCTTAATTTGTATTTTACTTTAAAACAGCATGTTATTTTAATTGAGAATATATGCAACCTCAAGTAACACCAGTTTATATTTCCAATCTACTGCTTTTGTTTCAATAGCACCGTGCTCGCAAAGCTTGTTAACTATAAGCGTGAACATTTTTATTTTCCCTATGATAGCTTCACATTCATTTTATAGACTTGAAATGACTAACACAAGTGTCAGAATCCTCATGAAACCCCATGGTTATTTGACAGTGAAAACAAATTTCATTTATTTTCATGTCCTTATAAATGCTGATTTACAGTACTATGGACCGTCCCCTTCACTATTTCCCTGGTGGTCCCACGGTCCTCCTGAACCTTCCACGAGTTTCGGCTACATAACACCACCAAAGAGATCATCTGGTTCTTCTTTTTTTTTTTTTCCAGGGGAAAGTGTGATAATATTCCCTCCCTTAGCTTTAAATTTTAACTCTGTTACTTTTGACAAAGCCTTTCCTTTGTTCAAATGCAAGGATCCAGTAAAAAGAGCTATGACATGTTGTGCCTTTTATGTGTGCATTTTTCTGGTTTCACTGACGTCCTAAGTTTTGCAAACGATAACGTGTGCCTTCAAGTTCCTCGGTAACATGCCATTTGTACACCAAATAAAGAACAGTTTAGGACAGCAGTACATTCACATGACTCTAAAGTCTGATACATAATTGATGGTTTCTCAGAAAACCCACAATTGGGTGACAGGAACGCAAAACAGTGCTTTGTTTTCCACTGTGTTCTTCACAAAATCTTCCCCGGATACACATTCACTGGCTTACCTGCAGGATAGCGCTCGATCACTGGCCAGCTGTCCACCTGTAAGGTGGCATTGCCACCACTCCTCGTGAAACGGACTACATGGTATTTCCCATCGTTAATGATTGCATTGGACTCTTCGATGGCGATGTCATCTGTCCCAACATTAAATTTAACTCCAATTTTTCCTTGGTGCTGGAAGGGAGGAGGGAAAACAAGTTGTATAAAGCTGTACTGATTCGGCAGCATTTAGCAAGAGCTACATACAGGGTATCGATCAAGAACATGCTTCAGACAACAGCTGCTTTCCTCCCATTTTAATTCTGAAAAACTCGTGTAGGAGAAGAAAGGTTCTTGACATTTGGGTAAATCTGAAGCATCTCTTTCATGGATAATTGATATTCCAAAAGACACACTTTCAAGAGAATTGAGCTGCCTTCTTCACAGAGGTTGCCAGAGACAAGGTGCACAGCTACCTGTGTGAAAGGACATCCTTTCAAGTCCCGAAACACAGCTCCTTTAATCCCTTCTTTACATTTCACAAGGAAAATGAGCTTGACATGCTCCCTTTTAATAACTGGTGAAATCAGAGCAATGGAGCCTGTTGAGAGACAATTGACAAATGCTGACAATATAGAAAATCATTCTAAAGTGGATGGGCACACAGACAGGCATTTAATGAGTGCAGTTTCTGAGACATTGATTCATAGACACACAAATCATCTGATGCTGAGAGCCTGAACTTCATTCAATTTCTTTATTTTTTTAATTAATAAGAATTGTTTTCTTTATTGAATTTTAGAGAGAGAGAGAGGAAGGGAGAGGGAGAGAGAGATAGAAACATCGATGAGAGAGAACATCGATTGGCCGCCTACTGCATGCCCACCACTGGGGATCAGGCCCACAACCTGGGCATGTGCCCTGACCAGGAATTGAACTGGTGACTTCTTGATGCATGGGTCCATGCTCAACCACTGAGCTACACTGGTCGGGCCAGTTTCTTTATTTTATAGATGATGAAAGTGACACAGGAAGGTACAATGACTTGTTCAAGGTCACATAACTGAATGGATGGGTAATAGAATTAGAATTCCATTCCCTCACTGTTAGTTTCTACCTAAGCTAAGATATGGCTACCAATTATTAACCCCCTCTCTGAATTAAACAAAGCAGCATTACAGATCGTCCTGAGCATCAGGTTTGTTGTTAACTTTAAAATTACATAATACAAGGTGGCAAATAGAAGCATGTGCTGATGTCCTCTAACAGTATTCTCTAACAGTATTCTCTAACAGTAGGGCTGTCTACTTTCTCATGAGCTCAGGTGATTTTTAAAGCATGTGGATTTACCGTTAATCAGAAGCACTGCAGGCCTTTGTCTGCGTGCATAACCTCAAACTGTCTGAGGTTCGCCTTTTGTCAAACCTCAGTTGAGAGGAGCCACATGGGGCAAGAGGAGTTTAAAGGACATATACTCCATCTTTTTCTGTAGAAATTTATAATCAGAATTTCAAAAACCTGAACATTTAGGAAACATCCCTTACACCTCTGGCCATATTCTCGTTGTGCTAAGCAATAAGAGTATGGTATCATTTTACATTGAGAGTCATTACAAGAAAATCCTGCCTAAAACGGCATTAATGAAAGGGAAATCTCTGAAGATGTTATTTAGGACAGTGTTCATTGTCCCCTGCATGGGCATGTCCTAAACTTTTCTATTTTTTCTTTTCCTGGTTCTTATTGCCCATTAAGGATCTTTTTCTTATAAGTTAGTATAGTTTTTATTTTTTTTAAACTTTGGTTTTAGGCTTGATGGACAATATGACTTAAGATCATGTTTCCTTTTTGATTTTGGTTATTGGGAAACTAAAAGTCAAAGTGAATAGGGACATGTTACCATCTGCATAGACTTCTGGTATATTGTCCCCTGGACTTAATTTTATTTTCTACCATATTTTTCATAATTCTTATTTTAAAGTATAGGCTCTTGTGAGACATTTTAATTTGGGTAGAATGATTCAGGGATAAAAAACAAAACAAAACAAAACAACCCAGTGAGGTTCCAATAAAACTTGAAATTTATCCAAGGGCCTGTGAAGACTTTTTTTTTTCTCACAGCTTATTTGTGCAAGCTTTCATTAATTCCTCATTCTGGTAGAATTCCCGATAGCTCATTTTCAGTAAATTATTTAATGTGGTATATATATTTTAACACATGGTATCACTTACTAGAAAAATTAAGAACCTCATTTAAGAGGTTTGTTGTTATCTTTATTTAACAAACACCTTTATAGAGTTCTAAGTACTAACTCTAACTCTGGTATTTCTCATAATAGTCCCATGAGAGAGGTGCTGTTTTATCTCCATTTGACAGACGAGAAAACTGAAGCACAGAGTGATTAAGTAACCTGGCTACAATGACACAGTTAGAAAGAGAAAAGCTGTGATTCAAATCCAGGCAGTCTAGCTCTAGAATTTATGTTCCTAATCATTACACTAGGCTGAATTTTGGGAATATTGGCTCATCCTAAGGACAGTTAATAGAGCTGGTAACTCTATATGTTCTCTGCTGTTCTATCTCTCCTGCTGAAGTAGGAACACCACAGGACCCGGTACTGTGCCTTGCAGATTATACATACGTATCAAACAATGCGTGCTTAAAATAATTCTATGGAGAACAGTAAGCAACTAATATTTGGATGTAATAAGATTTTAAAATAAAATGTTGGGTTTTTTTTTTTTTTTTCTTCTTCTTAGTTTCAGTTGCAATCTTGAGATGATAATAAGTAAAAAAAAAAAAAAAACAAAAAAAACCCAGCTACTTTCATTTTACAAAATGAGGCAAAAGATGGGCTAAGCCAGACTTGCAAAGGAAAACACTGAAAATGGATCTTGAGACCCTAAATTTGGGACCTATTTCCAGGCCATTAAAGAGAAAAGAAAGGGCCCTGGCCGGTTTGGCTCAGCGGTTAGAGCGTCGGCCTGTGGTCCCGAGAGACCCGGGTTCGGTTCCCGCTAAGGGCACGTACCTCAGTTGCAGTTTGTCCCCAGCCCTGGTTGGTCGTGCGGGTGGCAGCCACTCGATGTGTCCCTTTCACGTCGATGTTTCTCTCTCTCTCTCTTCCTCGCTCTCCCTCCCGCTCTATCTGAACAAAAAAAAATGAAAAAAATATCCTCAGGGAGGATAAAAAAAAAAATAGAGAGAGAGAAAAGAAAGGCCATGAGGAGACTGATAATTAGAAGAGGACTTGGGTGGAAACTTGGGATGTGATATGGTTTTGCATGTGTGTCCAAGGTAGAAGGTGGGACTTTAGAAAGTTTGGTTCTTGGACTTCCGGTCAAGATGGCCGCGTAGGTAAACTCCGTATGGCGTCCTCCCACAACCACATCAAAGTTACAACTAAACTACAGAACAGCCATCATCCAAAACCGCCTGAAATCAAGCTGAATGGAAGTCCTACAACTACGGAATTAAAAAAAAAAAAAGCAGCTACATCCAGACTTTGGTGAGCCCTTCCCCGGAGCAGCAGACAGAAGCCATATCTGGGACTCCAGCTACCTGGCTCACACTGGTAGCCCCGCCCTGGTGATTCCCTGAGGCCCCGCCCCGCCCAACTTTCAAGCCCACCCAAGCTGTTGCCGCTTGCTTAACCATAGGATTGGCTGGTTTTGGATCCTGCTTCAGGTTTTTCCTAAATTCTTTCAAACGAGCAGCATTGGGTCTCAGCGAGCCCCATACCTCTCACTAAGTGATACACAGAAACAAACACAGGGAGGCAGCCAAAATGAGGATACAAAGAAACAGGTCCCAAATGAAAAAAAACAGAACAAAACCCCAAGAAAAGAACTAAGCGAAATGGAGATAAGCAACCTAACAGATGCTGAGTTCAAAATACTGCTTATAAGGATGCTCATTGAACTCAGTGAGGGCCTCAAGAGCATAAAAAAGGACCAGTCAGAAATGATGGATGCACAGTTAGAAACGAAGGAGGCTTAACTGAAATAAAGAATAATTTACATAGCTTCAATAATAGAGTATGTAAATCCAAGGAGCAAACCATCGATTTGGAATATAAGGAAGCAAAAAACGCCCAATCAGAAGCAAAAAGAAAAAAGAATCCAAAAAAATGAGGATAGTGTAAGGAGCCTCTGGGACAACTTCAAGGGTGCCAACATTCGCATCTTGGGGGTGCTGGAAGGAGAAGAGAGAGAACAAGAAATCGAAAACCTGTTTGAAACAATAATGGCAGAAAACTTTCCTAACTTGGTGAAGGAAACAGACATACAAGTCCAGGAAGCACAGAGAGTCCCAAACAAGATGAACCCCAAGAGGCCCACACCAAGACACATCATCATCAAAATGCAAAAGGTTCAAGACAAAGAGAGAATATTAAAAGCAGCAAGAGAAAGGCAGCTAGTTACCTACAAGGGAGTACCCATTAGGCTGTCAGCTGATTTCTCAAAAGAAACTTTGCAGGCCAGAAGGGAGTGGCAAGAAATATTCAGAGTGATGAAAACCAGGAACCTACAACCAAAATTACTCTATCCTGCAAAGCTGTCATTTAGAATCGATGGACATATAAAAACTTTCCCAGACAAGAAAAAGTTAAAGGAGTTCATCACTACCAAACCGTTATTATATGAAATGATGAAGGGTCTTTTTGAAGAAAAAGATAAAATGTATGAACAAACAAAATGGCAATGAATACATATCTATCAACCATGGAATCTACAAACAAAATGAACAGGAAGAACAGGAACATTCTCATAGATACAGAGAACGTTTTGTTGGTTGCCAGTTGGGAAGGGGGTTGGGGGAAGGGGTGAAAAAGGTAAAGGGATTAAGAAGCACAAATTCATTGCTAGACTGACAAACCTCAAAGGGAAAGGGGTTGGGGGGGTGGGAAGAGATAAACCAAAGAACTTATATGCATAACCAATGGACACGGACAATAGTTTGGGAAAAGGTGGGAGGGGGGGCGGGAGTGGGGAGGAGGGGGTCAGTGGGGGAAAAATGTGGAACATCTGTAATACATTTTACATCCAACAATAAAGATGTGAAAAAAAAGAAAAAAGAAAGTTTGGTTCTTGTCTCCTGGAATTTGGTGGCAGTGGTTGGGATAGTCAGTAAACTGGAATGTGACTCCTGCCTGAGAAATCTTCAAGGGGAAAGACTGTGATGATCTGATGGCAGA